TCTATTGTCAAACAATTTTAGAAAAAATGTAAAAGGGACTCTATTGTCAAACAATTTTAGATAAAAAGTGACAAAAGGGACTCTACTGACAAGCAAATTCACAAAAATACATAAGAGACTCTACTGACGAGCAAATTCTGAAAAAAAATAATAAAAGGGACTCTACTGACAAGCAAACTCAAAAAAATACATGAAAGAAACTCTACTGACAAACAATTTTAGATAAAAAGTGACAAAAGGGACTCTACTGACAAGCAAACTCAAAAAATACATGAAAGAAACTCTACTGACAATTTTAGAAAAAAAAAATACATAAAAGGGTTTACTGATGAGCAAATTCTGAAAAATAATAAAAGGAACTCTACTGACAAACAATTTGAGAAAAAAAAGTACGAGAAAGGACTCTACTGACAAAAAAAGTATAAATAGATGGCAAACACGGTTGCTTTGACTTTACTTCAATTGTAGTTCTTTCAGCATTCAATAGATGTCGCCATATACCGTAGCACGTAAATTTACCCTTAGGTTCAATTCTAGGATAAGATTTATATAAATATATAATATAGAAAAGATACTCCTGATTAATTTGACTAAATGAAATGAGAACAAAATATACTTCTTAATAATAAGCACCCCTGAAATTCTTAAAATCAATCATAAATCTGCATCTTATATAATTGTCGACAGTTTTTTTTATTTCATCATCTGCATCGGATAACCTTGCTCGAACAAGTTTACAACAATCTTGTCCAGATAAAACAGATACGAGTGTGTTGTACCAAATTTCAGCACCTTTCGGATTACCTTAGTTCTGCCTCGATATCGATTTGCTCATTGAATAAATAATAGATGAAAAGAAACATGGTATCATTTAGTAAAAAAAAAAGAGCACCTATAAAGACTTGTCTTACTTTAGTTAATGATTATATGTATATGTAATATTTTAAAAAGTGTTTTTAGTTAATGGTTCTCCATATATGTATTATTTTAAATGATGCTGCTTCGATAGGTACTCTTGCAGTTAATCTGTGTGTGTCGACATAGTTTTCAATAAAGTAATTGTCATTCCAAGGAACCGATACTGGTTTATAAGTACTGAGCTTAATTCTCTTTGAATTTTATCTCAATCAAAACGCCTTTGTAAATCCGTACATTTTTGGCAAGTTGAACTTACTTAACCTAAAAAAAAAGGAATACAAAACCTTTTATAAAACTACTCAACAAACCTTTTCATGCTCTACAGAGTTTTCCATGACTAGCGCAAAGTAATCACAGTCATATATATATAATTAAACTATTGTTTTATTACAAGGCACAAATTAACCTCAAAAATAGCGCTCAACTTTTGTAACACACATTTACACAAAATTTTGCTTATACAAACTAATTTTAAGTAAACAAATTATTATTTGTGTATTTTTAACAACAATGTTCACTATTAACACTATTAACACTGTTATTTTAAATTAATATTATATTTTGTTAACAAAAATGACAAATAGCAAGTTGACTGTTGATCACTTTGACAGTTCATTAATGGCGGTGTCAAAAGGTTAACAAAAATCTGAATATGCAAATATATTTAAAACTAGTGGGGCGCATGGCATCGTGCCTTAAGGCAAATTGCTGGAACTTCCCGTACCAAAAATTTTTTTTTTTTTGAAAAGATTAACATTTTTTAAAAAAATTTACTCTAAAAAAATAGATTTTTGAGGAACTATATAAATTTTTGACAAAAGTTTTTGTTGAAAAATTTATTTTGAAATATTTTGGAAATTCTGAACTTTTTTTCAAAGCAATCGTACTGCTTTAATGCATAGAGACTAAATATCGAAGCGCGTAAGCGCCGCGTCGCTGTCTAACGCATAAGCATTGGTACGGAACCCATAGGAATGTTAACAAAATGTATACTCATTGTTAAAATCTCTATAAAATATCTGATAATTTGATGTGCATATGTCTAATGTCTAATGATTATTGTTGACCGCCAAATGTTATTTTTTTTACTTTTTTTACTAGATCTCCGAAACCGCTAGAACCTAATTTCATAAAAATTTCATCAAATCTTCATCTTGATAATGCAAGTAAAATGTTTTTGAATTATTCAAATTGCTTCATCCCGATTCCCGAAATCGTCGACGAAAATTTGTATCTGAACACACACAAATGCACGCACACACACACATACACACACATACATCAATTTTCTCTAAGGTATGCCAATATATTCAGAAACCTTTGAAACGTAAAGATATATAAAATTTTCATTTTCGATTTTTGTGCGATTACTATAACTTACCCTACGGAAAGTTAATTATAAATAAATCAATTTATCACCTCCAGAACATTAACAATCGTCATTTCATTTCGAATCAAATTTCAAAAAAAAAAAAGTTGTTGCCAAATTTCCACAAAATTGAAAAAGTGCTCCAGCATAGTCACAGTCTAAACGCATTTGCAAATAATTCTGTGCGATATTTTCACTTATACTGTGCTCAGCTTGGCGGCATTTTCACATTTTTCAATAATTTTCACAAATTGGAAAAGTGCTCCAGTACACAAACAGTCTAAACGCACTTGGGTAAACATTTGTACCAGAGTGGCGCTTAGACTGTGCTTAGCTTGGGTGATTTTTTGAATTTTTAGTCCAAAATTACAAAAAATTTTTTTGAAAAAAAATTAGAAACAAAAATTTTTTTTTTCCAAAATCAATTGTTTTGTTGAAAAAAGCAGAAAGTTCTTTGAATCATTTAAATCGGACGCTTAGTTCTCTCAAAAACAGCCATTTTTTTAAATTTAGCTCTATAACTCCAAAACCTCTGGGCCTACCTTTGCCAAAAACTAATCACACATCTCCCTATCAATAGGAATCGAGTGTTTTTTAAACCATTCAATCGGTTGATCCGTTCTCTCAAAAATTCGCTTTCTATTTTTTGCACTCTTTGCTCCATATCTCCGTAACGGCTGGACCTGCCTTTGCCAAAAACTAATCAGCACATCTCCCTATCAATAGGAATCGAATGTTTTTTTAACCATTCAAATCGGTTGATCCGTGCGCCCGAAAACGTGGACGAAAAAAAGCGGACATACAAACACACACACACACACACACACACCACACACACACATCCATTTTTTCTGAAGTATGCCAAAATGTTCAGAAACCTTCAAAACGTCGAGAAATGTAAAATTTTTGATTTCGATTTTTGGACGATTACTATAATTACCCTACGGGAAGTTAATAAATAGAAAATGGTAATAAATTCATAATATTTATTTGTTCTATCAATTAATAGTACTTTTTGCAACAAAATTGAACACTAAAAATATTCAAGTTAACAGTTGAGCACTATAACACTCGATCAATGGCGGTGTCAAATTTAATAAACTTAATTTAAATTAAATTAAATATTGTGAATATATTTAAAATAAATAGAAAATGTCGATAAATGTATTATATTTATCTGTTTCAGTAATTAATATTACCTTTTGCATCAAAATTAACAACTTTAACTAAATTAAGTTGACAGTTAATAACTTTGACAGTTGAATAATGGCGGCGGTGTCAAATTTAACAAAATTAATTTAAATAAAATTAAATATTATAACTGTGCTTGAAATATTTACAAAATGTCGATAAATTTATAATATTTATCTCTTTTATTATTTATTATAATCTTTATTTAGTAATTAAAATTAGCGCAAATTTCAAACATAATAGCAAGTTGACAGTTGATCACTGACAGTTGAATAATGCCGGTGGGTGTCAAATTTAACAAAATTAACTTAAATTTAAATTAAATATTAAAATATATTTAGAATATTTAGAATATTTAGAAAATGTTGATTAATCCATAAAATTCATCTGTTCTATTGAATAATATCATCTTTAGAAATAAAATTAACAAAATTTTCACAAAAATTCAAGTTGACAGTTGATCATCTTGACACTCGGTCAATGGCGGTGTCAAATTTAATAAAATTAACTTAAATATTGCAAATATATTTAAAATATACAGAAAATGTTTTAAATCCATAATATCTATCTGTTCTATTAATTAATATTACCTTTAGCAATAAAAATTACCAATATTTTTCACTAACATTCAAGTTGGCAGTTGAATAATGGCGGTGTCAAAGATTTAGCAGAATTTATTTAAATGAATTAAATATTGCAATATATTTAGAATTAATAATATTCTATCAATTAATATTACATTTAGCAATGAAATTACCAAAAAATTGTACAAATATTAAATTGACAGTTGAGCACTTTGACAGTTGATCAATGGCGGTGTCAAAAATTTAACAAAAATTTTAAATTAAAACTAAACATTTAAATATATATAAAAACCTTTGAAAATGGCAGTAAATTTGTAATATTTTGCAAATAATATATAAACATGATAAATACTATTAAAAGAAATAATATTGACAAATGTTTACAGAAACCTAGGCAATATAATTAATATGGATATAATAATATAACATAATCATTAGTCATAGTTAAGTGAGTTAATACTTTAATAATAATAAGTAAGTTATTATAGTAACAATATATTAACTATATGATAATATAATAATATTAAAAGAGTAATAATAATAAATATAAAGTAATAAAAATAATAAATATAACAGATTATAGACAATATAATAATGTGGATACGAATTTGACAGTTGATTAATGGCGGTGTCAGAAAGTTAACAAAATTATTTTAAATGCAAACTAAATATTGTAAATATGTTACAATATTTAGAAATAATTGTAAAATTTGCAATATTTTGCAAAAGTACAAAAATATAGTAAATACTATCAAAACAAATAATAAAAGTATACACATACAATTTTAAGGTTAGTATAAGTCTAAAATTTTGTCAATTTAATATTATTTTTAATTAATATTATAATTTAATTAATAACAATAACTATTAATACTTATTATTAACAATAATTATTATTATCTAGTTGACAGTTAATCACTTTGACAGTTGGTCAATGCCGGTGTCAAAACTTCAACCTAATTATTTTATTAAATTAAAATATGGAATTTTATTAAATTAAATACTGCAAATATGTTTAAAATGTTTAGAAAATGCTGACAAAATTACAGTTTTTGGAAAATAATATACAAACATGGTAAATACTGTTAAAAGGAAATTTATGAATTGAAAGGAAAACACAAACTTTTTTGAGGTTAGTATTATGCAATTTTTATAATTTAATCCTAAGTTTATAAATATAAATAAAATAATAATATATAATAGTCATATTAATATAATTGTTTATAAATTTTAATTAATGATAGTAATAATACCTTTGTGTGATGAAACTATGTATAATATATGTATTAGTATATATAAATTGTGATAAGATGATGAGTTGACTAATTTTTTTTTTCATTATTTCAGATAAGTTGTTCTTACAGATTTAAATAATGTAAAAATGTCAGATTATAATACTAATATAAAATTTTTAATTGTAGATATAATTCCAAGTTAAATTAACTGACTCGATTAAACTTTTCACGAAGATGCATTGTTATCAGATAAACATTTACTAGTATGAAAAGGGACTCTACTGATGAGCAAAATATTAAAGTGAAATTTTTTTTTTAATAAAAATGCCAATACAAAAAGACTACTGACGAGCAAATTAATATTGAACTCGAGATAAATATTATATTCGGGCCCTTAGGACATACACCGTGTATTTATGATTTCAAATTTTTGGAAATCTAATGATGTGATTCTTTAAATTTATTTCATAAATCACTAATAATTAAAATTAGTAATTAGTTTGCTTATCACCAGAGTGTTCCTTTCAGTTTGCTCGTCAGTAGAGTCCCTTTTTGTTATGGCATTTTAAAAAACAAACATTTCTCTCTAATATTTCGCACCAATTTAGATTTGCTCGTCAGTAAAGTCCCTTTCTCCTAAATTAATTTTCTGTATAGATTACTACAAATAATTTTTTTTTCAAACGTCAGTAGAGTCTTTTTTCATAATAAATAAAGTTTTTAGTTCGTCAGTAGAGTTCTTTTTATTTTCGATATTAGTTTGCTCGTCAGTAGAATTCCGTTTTCCTTTTATTTCGATTTGTATTAATTAAATTTTCAGTATAAGTCATTATTTTCAAAATCAGCTTGCTGGTCAGTAGAGTCCCTTTCCATTTTCGTAAATTCAGGATGTGTGTCAGTAGAGTTTCTTTTCTCTTGTACGCGGTTTAGCTTTGTTTGAATTTCTTGCTTGTCAGTAGAGTTCTGTTTCTCAATCCGCAATTTGCTAATATTTTCTCATTTTGCTCGTCAGTAGAGTCCGTTTTTCTAATGTAATAATTTACGTCTTTTTTTTTAAGTTGTTTTTCTTTCTCAATTTTCTACATTAAAATCAAATTAGCTCGTCAGTAGAGTCTTTTTTTCAATATTCTAGATAAAAATATAGTTTGCTCGTCAGTAGAGTTTTTTTTTAATTTTTTAGATAAAAATCGAGTTGCTCGTCAGTAGAGTCCTTCATTTAATAATTTAGATAAAAATCGAGTTTTCTTGTCAGTAGAGTCCTTTTTTTAAATATTTTAGATAGAAATCTAGTTTGCTCGTCAGTAGAGTCCCTTTTTGAAATATTTTAGATAAAAATTAAGTTTGCTCGTCAGTAGAGTCTTTGTTTTAGATTCTAAATAAAAATCCAGCTTGTCAGTTAAATCTCTTTTTTATTATTTCAGACATAAATTAAGTTTGCTCGTCAGTAGAGTCCCTTTTTTACAATATAGATCAAAATCTGGTTTGCTCGTCAGTAGAGTCTCTTTTTCTAAAAATCTAGATAAAAATTGACTTTGCTCTTCAGTAGAGTCTCTTTTTTTTTAATATTCTGAATAAAAAACGTGTTTGCTCGTCAGTAGAGTCCCTTTTCTTTAATATTCTAGATAAAAATCGAGTTTAGTCGTCAGTAGAGTCCCTTTTTGAAATATTTTAGATAAAAATTGGGTTTGCTCGTCAGTAGAGTCCCTTTATTAATTTTCTAGATAAAAATTGAAATTTGCTCGTCAGTAGAGTCCCTGTTTGTCTTAGCATTTTTTTTTAACATTTTTCTCTAATATTTTGCACAATTTTTATTTGATCGTCAGTAGAGTTCCTTTTTATCTTAACATTTTTTTTATAATTCTTTTTGATATTTCCACAAATTTAATTTGCTCGTCAGTAGAGTCCTTTTCTTGAAATACTCTAGATAAAAATAAAGTTTAGTCGTCAGTAGAGTTTCTTTTTTTTTAATATTCTAGATAAAAATTAAGTTTGCTCGTCAGTAGAGTCCCTTTTCTTTAATATTCTAGATAAAAATTATATTTTGCTTGTCAGTAGAGTCTCTTTTTTATTATTTATATCAATCGTTTGCTCGTCAGTAAAGTCCCTTTTTTAAATTTCAGATAAAAATCGAGTTTTCTCGTCAGTAAAGTCCTTTTTTTAATATTTTAGATCAAAATTAAAATTTGCTCGTCAGTACAGTCCTTTTTTACCATTCATCCCTCTATTTCTATTTTCAGATCCAAAACCCATCTCAAAAATGAAGCACATTTTCAAAATCCTCCAACGAAACCTGAGCCGGAGAAGCAGCAACCACCACAACACCAACCATTATCAAAACTTAATCTTCGGCAAATATTTGCTCCTGACCAACACCGTCAGCTCCGGCCTTTTGATGGCCATCGGCGACCTGGTCCAACAAGAGATCGAATACCGTCGCAAAATCATCCCCAAACGATACGACTGGGCCAGGTATAAATATAATATAAATGTAATTTTTTAAAGAAAATTAAAAAGATGATAAATCAATTTTAATCGTCTATCCTAAATTTCGTTCTGACAACACTAGAGTGAAAGAGAGCGATGCATACACAACCGTGTGAGCGAGTGAGTGAGATATATGCATGGTGTTGCCCATACTAAATATAAATGTTGAAACTCAGGTTTATATGTTCTAATTATTAATATCAAGTGTAACACTAACTAGTAATGATTTGTTTTAGAATGCTTTAAATATAAATGCAAATATAAATGCAAATATAAATATAAATATATATAAATATAAATAAATTAATTTTTGGATAAAAAATAAGAAAAAGGACTCTACTGACAAGCAAATTAAGATGGAAAATTAGAAAAGGGACTCTACTGACGAGCAAACTTGATTTTTACCTGACAAATTAAAAAGGGATTCTACTGACGAACAAACGTAAATTTCTATCTGAAAAATTAAAAAAGGGACTCTACTGACTTAATTTTGATCTAGAATATTTAAAAAAGGACTCTACTGACGAGCAAATTTCAATTTTTAGAATATTTAAAAAAAAAGGACTACTGACGAGCAAACTTGATTTTGATCTAGAAAATTTAAAAAAGGGACTCTACTGACGAGCAAACTCGATTTTTATTTAGAATATTTAAAAAAAAGGACTCTACTGACGAGCAAACTTGATTTTGATCTAGAATATTTAAAAAAAGGACTCTACTGACGAGCAAACTTGATTTTGATCGAGTATATTTAAAAAAGGGACTCTACTGACGAGCAAACGTAAATTTCTATCTGACAAATTAAAAAGGGACTCTACTGACGAGCAAACGTAAATTTCTATCTGACAAATTAAAAAGGGACTCTACTGACGAGCAAAATGAAAGGTACAAAAAGGACTCTACTGGCGAGCAACTTAAAACAAATCGGACATAAAGGAACTCTACTGACAAACAATGATTTATATCTGAAATATTTAAAAAAAGGGACTCTACTGATGAGCTAATTCGATGTTTATGTAAAATATCCCATAAAGGGACTCTACTGACGAGCAAATTCATGAAAAAGTGATTAAAAGGACTCTACTGACGAGCAAATAATAATGTTATTTGGAAACCTTTATAAAGTAAATGTTTAAAAAATGATGTTTAAAAAATGTTAAGACAAAAAGGGACTCTACTGACGAGCAAATATAACTATTATTTAGAAGATATTATGAGAGATTTTAGAATGTATTTAAGACAAAAAAGATATAAAATTTAGGACAAAAAGAAACTCTACTGACAAGCAAATCAAAATTGTGTCAAAAATATTCAAGTAAAATCTTTAAAAAAGTCTCAAAGCAAGAAGGGACTCTACTGACGGTCAAATATTAATATTATGTGGAAAATATTATAAGGAAAAATATTCAGTTCAAAAAAATTAGAGAAAAGGGACTCTACTGACGAGCAATTCCAAATTGTGCAAAATATCAAAGTAAAATGTTTAAAAATGTTAAGACAAAAAGGGACTCTACTGACGAGCTAAAATATAAATATAAATATAAATATAAATAAATTAAGTTTTTGGATAAAAGTATGTATGAAAGGATAACCGATTATTCGGATTTCGATAAATCTTTCTGAAATTTGTTAAGGATTTTTTAAAAAAAATTTGAATTACAGAAATATTATTTTATTTCCAGGTTATTCAGGATGACGACCGTCGGCACCGTCCTGGGCCCCGTCCACCACTTACTATTACACCTGGCTGGACAGGAAGCTACCAGGAATGGATTTGGTGACCGTTTTCAAAAAGATGGTACTCGATGAAATAGTGGCGGCACCTGTGTGCATCGCTCTGTTCTTCTACGGAATGGGTGCGATGGAAAGGAAAACTATCGAGGAAAGCACCAGGAGTTGAAGGATAAGTTTATGACTGTGTTTTTGGTCGACTTGCTGATTTGGCCGCCGACGCAGTTTGTTAATTTTTATTTCATCCCTTCGGCTTATAGGGTTGTTTATATTAATTTTATAACGATGCTTTATGATGTCTTTTTGTCGTATGTTAAACATGTCGAGGAACCCAAAAAAGTAAAAGGGTAGTAATGGATAGATGAATACATTTTGTGATAATATATATTTGTTATTCATATATATATATATATATATATATATATATATATATATATATATACATTTATGTAAAAAAGTACAAGGCGCCACCAGTATTGTTGTATATATATTTATGCATAAATTTGTTTGAAAAATATTTAAATATCTTTTACTTTTAGTTTGATAGAGATTGTTGGCATCAAGCAGCAGCGATATATATATATATATATATATATATATATATATACTCTACTGACGAGAAAACTCGATTTTCATCTAAGATATTGAAAAAGGGACTCTACTGACAAGCAAACTTTAATTTTGATCTAGAAAATTAAAAAAGGACTCTACTGACAAGCAATTTTAGAAAAAAAGTGAGAAAAGGGACTCTACTAGCGAGCAAATTAAGACATTAATGATAAAAAAAAAGAAAAAGAACTCTACTGACGAGCAATTTCAGAAAAATGACGAGCAAATTAAATTTGTAGAAAACTTCAAAGAGGAATATTAAAAAAAATTGTTAAGACACAAAGGGACTCTACTGACGATCAAACTCTATTTTTATCTAGACGATTAAAAAAAAGGGATTCTACTGACGAGCAAACTCGATTTTTATGTAGGAAATTACAAAATGGGACTTTACTGACGAGTAAACTTTAATTTTTATCTAAAATATAAATAAAGGGACTCTACTGACGAGCAAATTTCAATTTTTATCTAAAAAATTAAAAAAGGGACTCTACTGACGAGCAAATTTCAATTTTTATCTAAAAGATTAAAAAAAGGGACTCTACTGACGAGAAAACTCGATTTTCATCTAAAAAATTAAAAAAGGGACTCTACTGACGAACAAATTTGATTTTTATCTAGAATATTAAATATAAGGACTCTTTTTGCAATAAAATAAGGAAATATGTTACGATTTTTTATAATATAATATTTGTTTTATAAAAATCGTGTTCTACTCGTCGAGACCTTTCAAACGATACCCCACATGCCATAAAAGTGGAATATAAAATTTTTGAAGTAAAACTTCTTTAGACTAGTTTACTACAAATTCATAAAAAGCGTATATCTTGTGCACAGAACACAAAGTTAAATTTATCGAATTGTACACCTTGCATATTTTAAAATGTTCTGCAATAAAATTTCAATATTTTTAATTATTTTTAATTTTTTGTAATAGCAATATTGTAATATATATAACGTTTTTCTTAGAACATAACCATGTTTTCATGAAAATCGTATTCTACTCGTCGAGACCTTTCAAACGATACCCCACATGACATAAAAGATACAATCTAGAAATTTTTGAAGTAAAACTTCTTTAGGCTCGTTTATTACAAACTCATTGGAAGTGTATATTTTGTGGACAAAACACATAGTTATTTATCCCAGATATGTAACTTGCACATTTTAATCAGTTGTTTTACAATAAATTAAAAGAAAACATATTAAGATTAATATGCAAAAAGGGACTCTACTGACCAACAAATTAAAAAACAGCGTAAAAAGAACTCTTCTGACAAACAAATTAAGAGAAAAAATGTAAAAAGAAATTTACTGAAGAACAAATTAATTAACTTATCTAGAAACAAGAAAAGGGACTCTACTGACGAGCTAATTTAATTATTAAAATTAATAATTTTATAAAGCCTAATAGGCTTTTATCTAAAATATTTAAAGAAGGGACTCTACTGACGAGCAAATTTAATAAAAATAAGATGAAAAAAAGCATCCTTTAAATTTGATCTAAAAGAATAAAAAAGGGACGCTACTGACGAGCAAACTAGATTCAAAAGTTTTGTTTTAAATTTGCTCGTCTTTTGACTCACATAAACAACTTTTTCGTTTTTAGTGTCAAACGATTCAGAACGACTGAAAAAAGAACGCTACTAACAAACACATAAGGAAAAATGTGATAAAAAGGACTTTACTGACGAGCAAATTAAATATCAATCCTGAAAAAAGAAAAGTGACTCTACTGAAGAACAAATTAAGAATCAAGCGAGAAAAAGGACTCTACTGACAAGCAATATAAAAAAGTAATGAAACAAATTGGGAAAAATTGATGAAAAGAACTCTACTGACGAGCAAACTAAAAAAAAGATGACAAATTAAGATTAATATGTAAAAAGGACTCTACTGGCGAACAAGTTCAGAAAGGAAATGTAAGAGGAGTAATAAAAGAAAAAAATTAAAAATTGTGGTAAAGGAACACTACTGACGAGCAAACTGAATTATTAAAAAGAAAAAGGGACTCTACTTACGACCATAGAATATAGATCATGTAATATTAATAGACAACAAAAGGAACTCTACTGACGACCAAATCAGAATAGAAATGTATATGGAACTCTACTGACAAACAAACTGAATTATTAAAAGGAAAAGGGACTCTACTGACGAGCAAATTAACAAAAAATTGAAAAAAAGGACTGTACTGACGTAAAAAATATTTAACTATTTTTAGAAGGTCAAAAAAGGACTCTACTGACGAGCAAATACAAAATAAAGTCGTAAAAAAAAACTCTACTGACGAGCAAATACATAATAAAGTCGTAAAAGGAACTCTACTGACGAGCAAATACAAAACAAAGTTCTAAAAGGAACTCTACTGACAAACAAATTAGGAAAAAAGATAAAAAGAACTTTACTGACGAACAAATTAAGAAAAAAGATGAAAAGGACCCTACTGACGAAAAAATTAAGAAAAAATAAATAAAAAGAACTCTACTGACGAGCAAATACAACAAAATCTGATAAAAAAAGAAATACTTTTCTCAGAAGCAATTTTCCTAAAAAAAAACGACCAGATACAGTAAGGGTGATGAAAAGAACTCTACTGACGAGCAAATTCAGAAAAAAGTAAGTTACTATCTTAAAAAACGAATACAAGAACTTTTTCCATTTTTAAAGGCAAACGATTCAGAATGACTTGACATTAGCTCTCAGACTTTTGGCAAAAATAGATAATTCTCAATCGAATATAAAGAATTCTACTGACGATCAAAATTTAGACTTGTCAGTCAAGATAAAAAAGAGTAACTATTGGTGTATGGCATCGTGCCTTAAGACAAATTGCTGGAACTTCCCGTACTGTAATGAAATATTCGAGAAATTTTAAACGTTTTCAAATATATTATTACAAATACTGTAACTTTCATTATTTTTGCTATCTTGTTTATTATATCTGAGCAAAATTGAAAAAGTGCTCCCGTACAGTCACAGTCTAAACGCATTTGCATATAATTCTGTGCGATATTTTCACTTATACTGTGCTTAGCTTGGCGGCATTTTCACATTTTTCAACAAAATTGAAGTTTTCACAAAATTGGAAAAGCGCTCAGTACATAAACAGTCTAAACGCACTTGCAAAAACATTTGTACCGGAGTGGCGCTTAGACTGCTTAGCCTGGGCAATTTTTTCAATTTTTTTAATTTTTAATCCAAAATTACAAAAATATTTTTTGAAAAAAAAATTAGAAACAAAAATTTTTTTTCCAGAAGCAATTATTTTGTTGAAACAAGCAGAAAGTTCTTTGAATCATTTAAATCGGACGCTTAGTTCTCTCAAAAACTGCCATTTTTTGTACATTTAGCTCCGTATCTTCGAAATGGCTGGGCCTACCTTTGCCAAAAACTAATAACCATTTTTCCTCGTCATTACGAACTGAATGTTTTTTGGATCATACAAATCGGATGATCCGATTTATCTCTCAAAAACTCGATTTCTATTTTCTGCACTCTTTGCTCCGTACCTCCGTAACGGCTGGACCTGCCTTTGCCAAAAACTAATCTCCCTTTTAATAGGAATCGAATGTTTTTTAAACCATTGGAATTGGTTTATCCGTGCACCCGAAAACGTGGACGAAAAAATGTGGACATACAAAACACACACACATCCAATTAGTTTCTGAGGTGTGCTCCTTAAAAATGTTCAGAAACCTTTAAAACGTTGAGAAATAGTTTAAACGTTGAGAAAATTTTCATTTTCGATTTTCGGCCCATTACTATACCCTACAGGAAGTTAAAAAGTGACTTTATTGGCTCTCAAAACAAGCAAAATCATTTACAATGATTCAAAACATTTAAAAACCGCGCCAACAAATCCACTTCCCCAACCCCTCACCAGATGTCACCACCTTTTATCCATCATGGCGCCAGAGTTCTTGCTGCCGTCGTATTGCGCGTTTTAATAATTAATGAACACAATAACTGCATCATAACACTAACATTAAAACATTTACAAATGAACAACAAACTATTTAACAATATATTGTGATGTGACTTTATGAAACAAATTCAGTAACAAAGTGGCAAAATCGATATGGTGAAAGTTGGACAATTGCCATAACCTTTAAATTGGATGACATTTCTGATAAAACATTTGTAAAATGTCTTGGAATAGTCAAGTGCCGCATTTGTCGAGGACACACTCAATGGTAGTAATTGATATATGTTTAAAATAATAATTTAGGAGTTATTTATGTCTGTTTTGTTGTAGATTTGTTCCTCAAGGTCTAATATCAATGTAAGGGAGTCTCCAAGGACTAATCTGATTGTTAATTATTTACCGAGCAATATGACAGAGAGTGAACTGTATAATCTGTTTGTCACTATCGGGCCTTTGGAAAGTTGCAAAATTATGAGGGACATCAAGGTAATAATAATAATAAACGTGTACTTATTAAGCTTTGAGGCAAATTACAAAAAGTATGAACAATCGACACTCATTTTATTAACAATTTGCTCGTGATATGTCAAAATTTGATTCTATTTATTTATTTATTTATTTTGCAAGCCGTCGGTATATTAATATTATAATAAGGCTTAAGTCAATATTTTACAGGTTTAATATAATTTAATTAATATATTAGCTATTTTATTACTTATTTATTTATTATTTTATTTACTATAAACTTATTTATATTTAGTTAACTTTTAAATATAACTAGTTTGTTTGTTGCAAGTATTTTTTAAAAATTTAATAAGATTTATAATACTTTTACAATATAATTATTTTATTTAACAAATTTTAGGTTATTTTATGATATTTTAACAAGTGTTCTAATTTATAAAATATTAAAATTACTGCATTTAATTTTGAACCATGTACCCAAATGCAATGAAGTTGTACACGGGTTGGTACTGTCAAATCTTTTTTCTGACAGTTGATATTTGAATTTGAATTTACAATGTAATATTTGTGTGTGTGTTTTATCATTAACTATAATATTATATTTTGTGAATAATTTTGTTTGAAACGTGTTAAAGTGTTATATACAGAGTTGTAGATAATTTTATTACATTTTTAATGATATATAACACTATTGTTATATTTTAATTATTTATAATAAAATGCAGCAAAATAACTTATTATAATTTGTTTATAAAATGTTTTACAATTACTGCATTTAATTTTCAACAAAGTACCCAAACGCAATGAAGTTGTACACGGGTTGGTACTGTCAACTCTTTTTTCTGACAGTTGATATTTGAATTTGAATTTACAATGTAATATTTGTGTTTGTGTTTTATCATTAATTATAATATTATATTTTGTGAATAATTTTGTTCGAAACGTGTTAAAGTGTAATATATACAGATCTGTAGATAATTTTATTAGCTTTTTCAACATATATAATAATATATATGCATTAAAACAAATTTTAGCAATATAAAATGAATTTAAAAAAATGTGACCAATGGCTAACTGCGTTTTAAACTTTACACTTGTTTCTTAACAAATTTTGTTTGAAAAGTTTTTAAACGTTATATAAATATTTATAGATATTTTTTTAGCTTTCTAACAATATATAATAATATATATGCTCTACAACAAATTTTAGCAATATAAACATAAATATAAAAAAATGTAACCACTAACCATCAATGGCTAAACTACAGTTCTAACTTTGCAAATTTTTCTTATTAAATTTTGTTTGAAAAGTTTTTAAACCTTATATACAGTTTTGTAAATAATTTTATTATCTTTCTAACAATATATAACACTATTATTATATTTTGATTATTTATAAAAAAAAATTATGTGGATATAAAAAAACTACAACCAATTGAAGTAAAACTTTCGTTGCACTTTGTACAAGATGACAATTTAGTTAATAATAAATACCCAATACTAAAATTTAAATCAAATTATCTTTTCAAAATCATTACTAATAATATGTATTACAAACAATAGTAATATGTACATTGATTATATTAACATCATCTACTGTTTTCACATATTATCTAAAATATAATTAATATATAATATATAAGTTGTGGAAAACATTCTTTTACAAAATTTCCTCAAAATTATTCGACAGCTGAATTTTAAACTAAATACGTTTGGTGTTAATAGAAGTAGATAATTTATTATTAATAATATACATATATTAGGTTGTCAAATATCTCCCTTCCGCTTTTTTGCTCTTAGTTTATAATACAAAAAGGCGGAAGGGAGATATTTGACAACCTAATATATAATACACACACACATACATATATATATATATATATATATATATATATATATTCCTGGTCTAAAATCTCATCATTCAGTCAAAATTTAAGTTTAACAATATTTTTCTAAACTATTTTGTTTTAAGAATTTTAAATTGTTATATACGCTATTATAGATAATTTAATTAGCTTTCTAATGATATATAATAATGTTAATATATTTAATTAAATTTAAACAAAATAAATATGAATATAAACCAAAGCGTTGAAGCTAAAACAATATGGACGCTTTACGAAGATTTTAATTTCTTAGTTTAATGCATTATTTTTGCAAAATTTTGTTCCAACATTTACAAATTGTTGTATACAGATTTATAGATAATTTTATCTACTTTTTAACGATAAATTTTTTTATCACCATAAATAGCTATTAATTATAATAATAATACCATTTAATTATAATAATGGTAAATGTAGAAAAATATAACCAATGAAATTCACCAACGGTAATTAAATTTTCAAGTTCACATTTTTTTCTTAAATAATTTTGTTCGCAAAGTTTTTAAACGTTATATACAGATTTGTAGATAATTTTATTATCTTTCTAACAATATATAATACTATTATTATATTTTAATTTTGTATAATAAAATGAACGTGGCTAACAAAATGCAACCGATGAAACTAATGACATAAAATGACACTTTAAAGTTTAAAAATATTTTGTAAATAATTTTGTTTGAAACGTAATAAAATGTTATATACAGAGTCGTAGATAATTTTATTAGCTTTTTAACGATATATAATAATATATATGTTACGTAACAAATTTTAGCAAATAAACGTAAATATAAAAAATGTAGCTCTATACTAAATTCTAAACTTTACACATTTTTCACAATTAATTTTGTTCTAAAACTTATTAAGCCTTATATACAGATTTGTAGATAATTTTATTACCTTTCTAACAATATATAACACTATTGTTATATTTTAAGTATATATAACAAAATAAACGTGCAAACGATGAAACTAACATGCATATTAAATGCATCAAAACAACTTATAATTTGTTTATAAAATGTTTTAAAATTACTGCATTTAATTTTGAACAATGTAACCAACAGAATGAAGTTGTACTCGGGTTGGTACTGTCAACTTTTTTGACCGTTAACATTTGAATTTGAATTTGCAATGTAATATTTTTGTTTGTGTTTTATCTTTAACTATAAAATTATATTTGTATATAATTACTCTTAAGGTTTTAAACAATATATAACAATATCGTTCTAATTAATTTATCTATTCAAAATCTAACACTAGTAATATGCACATTTATTATATTAACTCATTATTAATCAAAAATATAATTAATATATAATAATCTTTTACAACATAACCTCAAAATTATTTGACTGTTTAGAAATAGAGTTCATTTTCTAATAATATTGTTTATTTAAATTATAGATTTAAAAATAATTTTTTGACTAGATAATAAAGCAGTTTTCTTTTTTTTTCAGACCGGTTACAGTTATGGATTTGGATTTGTTAATTATATGACTGAAGATCATGCCTTGAGGGCAATTGCAACGCTGAATGGATATCTAGTTCAAAATAAAAGGATAAAGGTAATTGTTTGAAAAAATAAATATAAATCACTACTTTACAAAAATCTTTCACCAGTTTTGAATTATGTCTATATGATTTAGTTATAGTTATTTATATTATTTATTTAGGTTTCCTTTGCAAGAGAAACTGGCGAAGAGATCAGAAATACTAACCTGTACGTATCAAACTTACCAAAGACCATAACTGAATACCAATTGGATGTTATTTTTGGAAAATATGGAAATATTGTTAATAAACACATTCTTAGAGAAAAACATAATGGGATGCCTAAGGGAATGGCTTTTGTCAGGTAATTAGATTTATATATATGTATATATATATATATATATATAAATAAATTAAAAAAAAATATCAATCTTATTATTTGTTGTCATAGTAGACATATCAAAGAATTACGTATTCAAATTTTTATTTGGTGCGCCCTGAAGAGCTCTTTAAAATTGATTATTAGTGTATACAGTATGAAACTTGTAACTTTAATATTTGAAAAAATTCTTAAAAAGCACTTGACTATTCTACAGTGCTCTAATTAGGGTAATTTGTACCCCAATATGTCTACTATGATACAAAATAATGAAATTGACAAATTTAAATCTACATTTATAGAAAATCATGTTTGAATTTATCATAATATTTTGGTAATGTTTATTGATTTTATTAATGTGTTTTTAAAATTTAAATCTAAAAACTAAAATTTAAATTCTGAATTCAAAATTTGAATTTTGAATCTGGATCTATATCGAAAATAAATCTGAAGCTCAAATGTTAAAATTACTGCATTTAATTTTGAACAATGTTCCCAAACGCAATGAAGTTGTACACGGATTGGTACTGTCAATCTCTTTTTTGACAGTTAATATTTGAATTTGAATTTTGATAACAAATTTTATTATACATATTTCTTATTGTCATTGATGCAAAAATTACAAATGTCTATAAAATTTTATATTGTTTGTTGACGTTTAATTCTAAATTTAAATTGAATATCACATGTTTAGCATCATAAATAGCAAATATTAAGACAATTTTTGATATATATATATTATAATTTTCAAAGTTATAAGTATTTAAAACAATAATACTTCAGTTGTCTTAATTTGCTCGTCAGTAGAGTTTCTTTTTATCATTTTTTTCTAATTTGTTCATCAGTAGAGTTCTTTTTATTAAATTTTTTCAAATTTGCACTTCGGTAGAGTTTAGTTTTTTTCCAATTTTTCATCAGTAGATTTCACATTTCTCTAAATTTTTCGCTTCACTTTTTTCACTTTCACTTTTTTTTTCAATATGCTCGTCAGTAAAGTTCCCAATTTGTTTGGCAGTAGAGTTCCTTGCGAGTTTTTTCCCCATTTTTTATCAGTAGAGTTTCTTTTTATCACTTTTTTTTTAATTTGTTCCTCAGTAGAGTTCTTTTTATTATATTTTTTTTCTAATTTGCTCGTCAGTAGTGTTTCTTTTTATCACTTCTCCTAAATTTGTTCGTCAGTACTGTTCTTGTTTTTAATATCCTTCTGAATTTGTTTGTCAGTAGAGTTCTTTTTTATAACATTTTTTTCTAAATTTATTTGTCAGTAGAGTTCTTTTTTATTAATTTTTTTTAATTTGTTTGTTAGTAGAGTTTCTTTTTATTATATCTTTTTAAATTTGTTTGTCAGTAGAGTTCCTTTTATCACATTCTTTTAATTTGCTCGACAGTAGAGTCCCTTTTTTCATCTCTTAAAGATAGATGAATAATTTGTTCGTCAGTAGAGTTTTTTTGTTACATTTTTTTAAATTAGTTCGCCAGTAGAGTTTCTTTTGAGTTTTTTTCCCAATTTTTCGTCAGTAGACTTTATTTTTATCATATTCTTCATAATTTGCTCGTCAGTAGAGTCCTTTCTGTTATATTTTTCCATTTTGCTCGTCAGTAGTTTTTTTTATAACATTTTTTCTCCAATTTCCTCGTCAGTAGAGTTCTTTTTGCAATATTTTTTCGAATTCGCTCGTCAGTAGAGTTTTTTCAGAGTTTTTTCCCAATAGTTCATTAATAGATTTCATTTTTATCGCATATTTCTAAATGACGAGCAACAGTAGAGTCCCTTTTTCATTTTCTTAAGATAAAAAATAATAATTCTATCGTCAGTTGAGTTCCTTTTTTTTCCGAATTTCCTCGTCAGTAGTTTTTTTTTATTAAATATATATGTATTTGCTCATCAGTAGGGTCCCTTTGTAAGTTTAGAGATCTATTATTAATATGTTCGTCAGTAGAGTCCCATGTCGTCTTTTAGAGATAGATTAATAATTTGCTCGTCAGTAGAGTCCTTTTTTCTATTTTTAGGTTTGGCTTTTTTTTGTTTATCATATTTTTTTTGCAAATTAATATTTGGTCGTTAGTAGAGTCCTATTTGGATATTTCAGGTTGATAATTAATTTGCTCGTCAGTAGTGTCCTTTTTTTAAGCTGTCAGATCTATAAATGATTTGCTCGTCAGTAGAGTCCACATTTATTAAAGTTTCAAAATCGATTATTAATTAGCTCGTCAGTAGAGTTCCTTTTTTAACCTCCTAAAGATAAATAATTTGATGGTCAGTAGAGTCGTTTCTTCTTAATTTTGATCTAGGAACTTGAAATAGAGACTCTACTGACGAGCAAATTAGAAAAAATGAGACCTAAAAAATGGACTCTACTACGCAACAAATTAATTATATTTATAAATAAATAAAATAAATAAAATTAAATAAATAAATAAATTGACAATATATATTGAATCTGAAAAAGGGACTCTACTGACGAGCAAATTGGAAAAGTGAAACTTAAAAAAGGACTCTACTGACTAGCAAATTGGAAAAGTGAAACTTAAAAAAGGACTCTACTGACTAGCAAACTATTTATGTATCTTTAGATGTACATTTCGACACTTTATGCGTGTCATCATTATAATCCGCATATCGACTTGTATAACCACAAAAAGTTTCATCAAAATCGAACCGCCCGTTTACGCGTATTTAAGCGTCATACATACATTAACACTTGACAGCTACAATTGAGGTTATGTCACTATCAATTCCTTTTCCAGATTCGACAAACGCGAAGAAGCCCAAGAAGCAATAAGCGCCCTCAACAACGTAATACCCGACGGCGGAACACAACCTCTAAATGTCCGCCTAGCCGACGAATTCGACAGCGCAAAGTACAGTAGTTTCTTTTACAATAACACTAGTCGAAGGGTCAACAATTACCTATCATCTAGTCGAGACTACAACCTTTGCAACGACTATGGTATGAACGGTATTAGAAACGATTTATTTATTTATTTATTTATTTATTTATTTATTTATTTATTTACTTGACAGGTAGGAATAGTTTGCACCACCATCGAGGTGGTATAACAAGTGGTGGTGGTAGTGGTAATCATTTTGTTAGTCCGGGGGGGAATGGTGTGGCGTTTAGTAGCAGTTTTGGACCGGGAAGCTTTAGGTCGGGCAGTGCTTTGAGTTTGACGAGTGGCAGTTTGTACGGGGGCCTTAATAATTATGTGGAGAGCCCCCAGCAGCCCTACTATACGACGAATTCGACAGGAGGACATATGTACAGGGCTGGATATACGGGAAGCTTAAATAGAGGTAGATTATTTGAATTATATTAGTAAATTGATTGTTTGGTTTTTAGGTTATGTTTTCTAACCTTCAATTTTTGTGTTGATATGGTTCTATTGGTTTACTAATATTTTTTAAATTATTTATTATATATATATATATATATATATATATATATATATCTTAATAATTTATTTATATTTCAGCTGAATATTTAATTTATTCTCAACATATGTATATGTAATTCTTTTCACTTTTCATGCCTTCGAAATCAATTAGGATTGGATGCTCTGTACGGTCGTAAAAAAAGTTATCCCTTTTATACCTATTAGTTTTATATATATATATATGCATTTAGTGCAGTGCAGTACACATTATTTCGGAAATCTAATCAACTTTAATTAATTAAAAACATATATACATGTATGTTTAGAAACAAATTGAGAAGTTAAAATTACTGCATTTAATATTGAACAATGTGCCCTAACATTCTGAAGTTGTCCGCGAGTGGTACTGTCAACGCCATTTTAACCGTTAACATTTGAATTTGAATTTAGGTAACAATACTATTTATTTATATATCTTTCTTATTGTCATTTTTACACAAATTAGTTATCATATAATCAAAAACGATTATAACATTCAGGTATCCGAAATACTTTTTTCTTGTAATTTAAATTGCAAGTTGAATTATTACATGTATAATACAAATCAATTTTATTATATTATATATATATATATATATATATATATATAATGACTAAAGAACAAATTCAGAAGCTCAAATGTTGAAGCTACTGCATTTAATTAGCAGCAAAAACTCACAAATTAATTATTATGTAGTCAAAAACGATTTTCAAAATAATTATTATTAGTGAAGTGAATTATAATTGTTTTTCATTATATAATAACTAATTTGTATGAAAATAACAATAAGAAACTAATATAAATAAGTTTATTGCTACCTAAATTTAAATTCAAATATTAACGGTTAAAATGGCGTTGACAGTACCACTCGCGGACAACTTCACTGTGTTGAGCACATTGTTCAATATTAAATACAGTAATTTTAGCATTTGAACCTCTGAATTTTTTATTAATTTTAAATTGATTTTTATTATATACTATTACAACTTGCAATTTGAATTACAAAAAAAAGTATTTCGGATCCCTGAATTGTACTTTTCAATTATTTTCCATATAATTCACTTTACGAATAATAATTATTTTGAAAATTGTTTTTGATTATATAATAACTAATTTGTGAGTATTAAATGCAGTAGCTTTAATATTTGAACTTCTGAATTTGCTCTTGAGTCATTTATATATATAATATAATAAATTTTTATTATACTTGTACTAATACAACTTGCAATTTAAATTAAAAGTATTTCGGATCATATGAATCACTCTACAAATAATAATCATTTTGAAAATCGTTTTTGATTATATAATAACTAAGTTGTATGAAAATAACAATAAGAAACTAATATAAATAAATTTATTGTTACTTAAATTTTAACATTTAAACTTATGAATTTGTTACTAATTCATAAGTTGATTAGATTCCGATGTGTACTAATATTTCCATTTGTTTTAAATACAATATTTTAATAAGTAAGTATACTATAGTAAACACTTGCCACTCGAATTAAAATTAAAATATATTATATATATATTAGTTGAAAATTAAAATATGTATTATAATTCCTGTAAAATATATACATAGGTTTACGTATACATATTATATATTTATACATTATATATATATGTATATATATATATATATATATATATATAATGTATAATCTAGTCATCTTCCAATCAATGACAATTCATAAGACATAAATTTTAGCTTCCAAGCATCTACCTTTATATCGTGAATTTATATATATATATATATATATATATATATATATATATATTATGTGTATTTATATATAAATTCACAAATTGGCTGCTTAGTACCTGCATAATATTTATTCATCTTTATTTTTGTCTTCCATACGATAAGATGGAATTTCATCTCAAAATTAATATATATAAACGTATATATATATATATATATATATATGTATGTATGTTTGTATATTTCTACATTATACACATATGTATGTCCTTACGGTTTCTTGTGTAAATATTCAAAACTATTTTTGTGTATACATATACACATATAAATATATTTATCCACATGGCAATATATATATATATATATATATATATATATATATATATATAAAATTTTCATATTCAAAGGGTATACTTTATGTTTGCATTTACAGGTTGCACTTGTGCACTATATTGTTCATAACTTTTAAAGTAATTATGCAAATTAAATAGCTTATTTGCAAGATTTATGCAAAATTAAACAACAAACAATATTGTCTAACACATCAACACCCTACGACAACTTTATATACTCTAAATTGATTTAGATAAAGACATCTTGACTAGATTGACTGGCATTGACGTCCACGCATTGTTAGATAAAATTTAACAGAAGTCAAAATTTTGTTTGAAACTTCATTGATTTTAGTATTTGTGATCAAAACAGATTCTTTAAAGTATGACATGTTGAAATTACAAGGTTGTAGTACAAACGGTACGTCCTGTAGAGCTCTTCAAAACGTACAGTCGATTACACAAAATTCTTGTGCGGTCCGAGACGAATTTAAAAAAAAATATTATGACTCAAAATTTTGTTAGAAACATCGATTTTAGTATTTGTTGTCAAAATAGACATTTTGAGTTAAAATATATTAAAATTTTAAGGTTGTAGTACAACCGTTACACCCTGTAGAGCTCTTCAAAAAGGACAGTTGATTACATACAAGTCTTACACTGTACGAGCCGAATTCAATAAACATCTTTATAACTCAAAATTTTGTTAGAAATAATATCGATTTTAGTATTTGTACATATAATGGACATTTTAAGGAATGATATAATTAAATTACAGGGTGGTAGTACAAACGGTACGTCCTGTAGAGCTCGTCGAACAGTGCATCGCTTACACAAAATTCTTATACAATCGGAGCAGTTTTGAATAAAATTGGTTATAACTCAAAATTTTGTTACAAGCAACATCGATTTTAGTATTTGCTGTCAAAATAGACACCTTGATGTAAAACATATCCAAATTACAAAGATGTAGTACAAACGGTGCGACCTGAGGAGCTTCTAGAATGTATCATTATTATGGAAATATATGTAAGAGTATATAATTTGTAATGCATTCAAGGAGCTCTACAGGACGTACCATTTGTACTACATCCTTGTAATTTTGTTATATGATACATTAAAGTGTCTACTTTGAAAGCCAATACTAAAATCGATGAGGTTTCTAACAAAATTTTGAGTTATAACCGATTTTATTAAATTCCGTTCTGGCTGTATAAAAACTTTACATAGTCGACTGTACGTTTTGAAGAGCTCTACAGGACGCACCGTTTGTATTACAAGTTTGTAATTTGGATATGTTATACTTAAGAGTGTCTATTTAAAGTACAAATACTAAAATCGATAAGGTTTCTAACAAAATTTTGAGTTATAACCAATTTTATTAAATTCCGTTCTGGCTGTATAAGAATTTTCATTAACCGACTGTACGTTTCAATGAGCTCTACAGGACGTACCGTTTGTACTACATCTTTGTAATTTTAGTATGTCATACCTTAAAGTGTTTATTTTGAAAGCAAATACTAAAATCGATAAGGTCTCTAACAAAATTTTAAGTAATATTGAATTTTATCTAACAATGTATGGATATGAATGTCAGTCAATCTAGTCAAGGCGTCTTTATCTAAATCAATTTAGAGTATACAAAGTTGTCGTAGGATGTTGATGTGTTAGACAATATTGTTTGTTGTTTAATTTTGCATAAATCTTGCGAATAAACTATTTAATTTTCATAATTAGTTTAGAAGTTATGAACAATATAGTGCACAGATGCAACCTGTAAATGCAAACATAAAGTATACCCTTTGAATATAAAAATTTTAATATATATATATATATATATATATATATATATATATATTACCCTGTGTATATCAATATATGTAGAACCATCCTCATACAAAATTGAGCCTGTTAGTTTTCGAATGATCTTTAGAATAGTGCCTAAATTATTATAAATTAATATATAAATATATATAAATTGTTTAAACAAAATACGTAGAAGTTGTTAAAGTATATATAAATATATATTATGCTAAATTATCTATAATATTGTCGTGTACATGTGTATAAATATTTACACACATGGAAGAATGTGTTCTTGTGTAAATAGTTGAAAAGTCTATCATGTTGATATATATATATATATATATATATATATATATATATATACACGATAGGCTGTATAATTGCATTATATAAGACCTGACAAATAAAAAATATTTAACAAATGCTCAATGTATTTCTCGATTTATAAATAAGCCTTTGTTTGATTGATTTTATTTATTTGTTTAATTAATGCTAATTGACTGTGTACAGTTTATATTATATATGTGATACATTTTTTATTTAACACATATAAAAATATTACATCGAAAAAAATACATAAAGTTTGTCAATTTATTTATTTTGAAACCTCGTTATAAACTTAAAATGAGATAAAAGAACAGATGATATTAATTGGTATATATTTGGCTTATCATATACATATTATAGTTTGTTTATTTAAAAACTATATTTGTTTGAATTTTAGTTAAACAATTATTAAAAGTCTAACCTTAAAACAAGTTCTTCATACTTCTGGCAAGCAAAATGCATTATTGTACGTCTACAGTAGCAAAGTACAATATTATTCATAAATATACACACAATTACGTGTAAAATTAATAAATTATGTACTAATTACACTAAATATCTATAATTATGTAAAAAATCAACAATAACAAAAACAATAACCTCCATTTTGATATTTAACTCGTTTGACAGTTCAGTTCGTGTCGTGAAGTTGTAAACAAGTTGACAGGTCACATTTTTCCTAATTTTATGCCAAAATCAAGTATATAATTAATTAATTACTTACTAGTTACATTAAGCGTTTATAATTGTGTTAAAAATCAACATTAGTTAAATAATAACATTTATATTTAATTTATAACATAACAATTGATACTTGACAGTTTTCACTTGCCGTGAAGTTGCACAGTTGTTGACAGCTCAAATTTGTCACAATTATATGCCAAAATTAAGTATATAATTAACGAATTACTTACAAATTGCAATAAACGTTTAAAATTGTATTAAAAATCAATATTTGTTAAATAAAAACATTTATATTTAATTTATAACATAACAATTGACATTTGACAGTTTTCACTTGCCGTGAAGTAAACAAGTTGACAGGTCAAATTCGTTTGCAATTTCATGCCAAAATTAAGTATATAATTAATTAATTATTAAATAATTGCAACAAATGTGTATAATTGTGTTGAAAATGGACATTTGTTAAATAATAACATTTATTTTTGTATTTTGTTTTTATAACAATTACACTTGACCGTTTTCACTTGCACAGTTGTTGATAGCTCAAATTCCTCACAATTTTATTCCAAAATTAATTATATAAATAACAAATTACTTACTAATTACACCAAACGTTCAAAATAAATAAATAAATACATAAATTTGTTAAATAAAAACATTTTTATTTAATTTATAACATAATAATTGACATTTGACAGTTTTCACTTGCCGTGAAGTTGCACAGGTGACTGACATGTCAAATTCATCTCTAATAAGTATATAATTAACAAATTACTTACTAATTACACTAAACATTTACAATTGTATCAAAAATCAATATTTATTGAACAATTATCCTTTATTTCTATGTTTTGTTTATTACTATTATCCTTGACAGTTTCTCAAACGCCATCATCCATCCTCTGGCAACACTTTGTATACAAAATGGAGCTGAGGAATTTTTTTTTATTCAATTTTTTGCCGCGATTGATTTGCAAGTGACAGCAAGGATGTAAATTCAACAAAAACACAATGCCCGTGCTAATTTAAACCCTGGAAATACTAAATAATTGAAGAATGAACAGCGTGTGCGGAATTTGTTTTGAAAAAACCGAGGCAAGAGCAATAGATTTCCCATAATACTTAATACATTGTAACTCTGTGTTTTTTTTTCATCTAGGACTTATTTCGTTTGAACAATTCGTTCCTGGCGACTTGTGCAAAATGTTTGAAGAGATTGAATATTGGTAATCAATCAATTAATTTGACACAGGGGGCACAGCAGGATTTTGCACAAGAACCTTCTGAACAGGTACTGATAAATTCATGTCATGTTTGTCTCAAACAAACGCCCATAAGAATTTGTAAATGTATTTTTTATCTAGGAGTGTCCTATTTGTGGCAAATACTTTGCGAGGAGGTACTCGTTCATGAACCACGTCAGGAATCACAGTGCTGAGAGGAAACATGTCTGTCGGTTTTGTCAAAAAGGTAAAGGACAACGTCACATGATAAATAATAATGTAATAGTGTATAAATTGAGATCCAAATGTGACAAATGAGTAAAATCAAATATTTTTGTGTTTGTTTTAAAGTTTGTGTTTAATTTTGTGTTTGTTTTTTGTAGCATTTACGCAAGCTGCTAATTTGAGAAATCATGAACGGATTCATACGAATGAAAGGCCTTACAGTTGTTCTGTTTGTCAGAAAGCGTTTACTCAGGTAATATATTGAATTTAATACAACTTTATATATATATATATATATATATATATATATTAAATGGTAGTCCTGAATTTGTGTATATTTTGTAGAGTTTCAAACAAGAATCCAAAAGTAATAAAATACAAGAAAAGTTTTTTAATAAACAATTTCTTTATTTATTTATTTAAATAAATATTTGATATAAATAATTCAACTCATATTCAATTCATAAATTTGCAAACTAAACTAAATTTAAATAAATAAATAAGTTGTTTATTAAAAAACTTTTCTTGTATATATATATGCTAATAATGCATTTTGCATGAATATTCATTTTTTAAATATAATTTAATATACCGGCTGTACTATATATAGTTAAGGCCTGTAATTTTAGTATAATATTTCTAAAAGTATATACTATAAGTGTACATACTTACTTTTTATTGTTTTTGAAGAATTTATTAAAGTTTTTGAACAATTTTCAAAATTTTGTCAGACATTTTGTCTCTTGCAATTTTGTCTGTACATGTTAAATCTAAGTATAGATATTGAGTTTTAAAAATTTATACCGGCTGTACTATATATAGTTAAGAGCTGGAATTTTGGTATTTTGTTGCTAAAACTATGTACTATAAATGTACATATACAAAATTTTTATGTTCTCAAACAAATTTTTAAAGTTTTTAAACAATTTTCAAAATTTTGTCATACATTTTGTCTCTTGCAATTTTGTCTGTACATGTTAAATCTAAGTATAGATATTGAGTTTTAAAAATTTATACCGGCTGTACTATATATAGTTAAGAGCTGGAATTTTGGTATTTTGTTGCTAAAACTATGTACTATAATGTACATATACAAAATTTTATGTTCTCAAACAAATTTTTAAAGTTTTTAAACAATTTTCAAAATTTTGTCATACATTTTGTCTCTTGCAATTTTGTCTGTACATGTTAAATCTAAGTATAGATTTGAGTTTTAAAAATTTATACCGGCTGTACTATATATAGTTAAGAGCTGGAATTTTGGTATTTTGTTGCTAAAACTATGTACTATAAATGTACATATACAAAATTTTATGTTCTCAAACAAATTTTTAAAGTTTTTAAACAATTTTCAAATTTTGTCATACATTTTGTCTCTTGCAATTTTGTCTGTACATGTTAAATCTAAGTATAGATATTGAGTTTTAAAAATTATACCGGCTGTACTATATATAGTTAAGAGCTGGAATTTTGGTATTTTGTTGCTAAACTATGTACTATAAATGTACATATACAAAATTTTATGTTCTCAAACAAATTTTTAAAGTTTTTAAACAATTTTCAAAATTTTGTCATACATTTTGTCTCTTGCAATTTTGTCTGTACATGTTAAATCTAAGTATAGATATTGAGTTTTAAAAATTTATACCGGCTGTACTATATATAGTTAAGAGCTGGAATTTTGGTATTTTGTTGCTAAAACTATGTACTATAAATGTACATATACAAATTTTATGTTCTCAACAAATTTTTAAAGTTTTTAAACAATTTTCAAAATTTTGTCATACATTTTGTCTCTTGCAATTTTGTCTGTACATGTTAAATCTAAGTATAGATATTGAGTTTTAAAAATTTATACCGGCTGTACTATATATAGTTAAGAGCTGGAATTTTGGTATTTTGTTGCTAAAACTATGTACTATAAATGTACATATACAAAATTTTATGTTCTCAACAAATTTTTAAAGTTTTTAAACAATTTTCAAAATTTTGTCATACATTTTGTCTCTTGCAATTTTGTCTGTACATGTTAAATCTAAGTATAGATATTGAGTTTTAAAAATTTATACCGGCTGTACTATATATAGTTAAGAGCTGGAATTTTGGTATTTTGTTGCTAAAACTATGTACTATAAATGTACATATACAAATTTTATGTTCTCAAACAAATTTTTAAAGTTTTTAAACAATTTTCAAAATTTTGTCATACATTTTGTCTCTTGCAATTTTGTCTGTACATGTTAAATCTAAGTATAGATATTGAGTTTTAAAAATTTATACCGGCTGTACTATATATAGTTAAGAGCTGGAATTTTGGTATTTTGTTGCTAAAACTATGTACTATAAATGTACATATACAAAATTTTATGTTCTCAAACAAATTTTTAAAGTTTTTAAACAATTTTCAAAATTTTGTCATACATTTTGTCTCTTGCAATTTTGTCTGTACATGTTAAATCTAAGTATAGATATTGAGTTTTAAAAATTTATACCGGCTGTACTATATATAGTTAAGAGCTGGAATTTTGGTATTTTGTTGCTAAAACTATGTACTATAAATGTACATATACAAAATTTTATGTTCTCAAACAAATTTTTAAAGTTTTTAAACAATTTTCAAAATTTTGTCATACATTTTGTCTCTTGCAATTTTGTCTGTACATGTTAAATCTAAGTATAGATATTGAGTTTTAAAAATTTATACCGGCTGTACTATATATAGTTAAGAGCTGGAATTTTGGTATTTTGTTGCTAAAACTATGTACTATAAATGTACATATACAAAATTTTATGTTCTCAAACAAATTTTTAAAGTTTTTAAACAATTTTCAAAATTTTGTCATACATTTTGTCTCTTGCAATTTTGTCTGTACATGTTAAATGTACAAGTATAGATATCCCAGTTTTAAAATTTATACAAGCTGTACTGTATATAGTTAAGGGCTGCAATTTGGATATGATATTCCTTAAAGTATATACTATAAGTGTACATACATAAATTTTATTGTGTTTGAAGAAATTATTAGAGTTTTTAAACAATTTTCATAATTTTGTCAGACATTTTGTCTCTTGCAATTTTGTCTGTCATGTTAAATCCAAGTATATTTATCCCAGTTTTAAAAATTTATACTGGCTGTACTATATATAGATAAGAGCTGTCATTTTAGTATTTTGTTGCCAAAAGTGTATACTATGAGTGTACATACTTAAATTTTTATGTTTTTGAAGAAATTAGTAAAGTTTTTAAATAATTTACAAAACTTTGTCACTTGCACCTTTGCCTATATGTGTTAACTACAAATATCGATTTCCTAATTATAAAATTTTTACTGGCTGTACTATATTTAGTTGAGGGTTGAAATTTTAGTATGTTATTGCCAAAAGTATGTACTATGTCACATTTTATTGCTTAGGAAGAAATTATTAAAGTTTTTGAACAATTTACAAAGTTTTGTTGTCTTCGACTTTGTCTATATGTGTTAAATTCAAGTATAGTAATTTGAGTTTTAAAAATTTATACCAGCTGTATTATATTTAGTTAAGGTCTGTAATTTCAGTTAGTTATTGTCAAAAACTTATACTAAAAGAGTACACTTTTAAAATTTTATGTTTTTAAACAAATTAGTAAATTTTTTAAACAATTTACGAAATTTTATCTTTTACTTTGTGGTCTATGCGTGTTTTCTCCAAATAGTGATGTCTTGGTTTAAAAAAATTATACCAGCTGTACTATATATAGTTTAGGACTGAAAGTTTAGTATTTTGTTGCCAAAAGTATATACTATAAGCACACATACTTACATTTTAGTGCTTTTAAACAAATTATTGAAGTTTTAGACAATTTATAAAATTTTGTCACTTACAACTTTGTCTATACATGTCAAATCCAAATTTTGATATCCTTGTTTTAAAATTTATACTGACTGTACTATGTAGTGTTAAGAGCTGTAATTTTAGTATAATATTCCTAAAAGTATATATTTTAATCGTACATTTTTTGAATTTTACGGTTTCAAACAAATTATTAAAGTTTTTGGACAATTTATAAAATTTTGTCTCCTTCAACTTTGTCTTGTACATATTAACTTCAAATATCAATACCCTAGTTTTAAAAATTTATATCGTCTGTACTATATATAGTAAAGGGCTGTAATTTTAGTATGTTATTCCTAATTTCTTTAGTATATACTATAAGTGTACCTACTTACTTTTTATTGTTTTCAAAGAAATTAATAAAGTTTTTGACATTTTTCAAACATTTTGTTGTCCGCTTATGAAGTCACTTTGCGAATAAAATATTCTCGTTTTTAAAAATTTATACCTGCTGTGCTATTAATAGTTAAGGATTACAATTTTAGTATAATATTCTTAAAAGTATATACTATAAGTACATACTTAAATTTTGTTATTTTTGAAGATATTAGTACAGTTTTTTACAACATTCTAAAATTTTGTCTGTCTGTGAAATTGCTTACAAATAAAATATTCTGGTTTTTAAGAATTTATATAGTCTGTACTATATATAGATAAAGGCTGTGATTTTAGTATAGTATTCCTAAAAGTATGTACTATGAGTGTACATACTTACTTTTAATTGTTTTTGAAGAAATTATTGAAGTTTTTAAACAATTTAATACATTTTGTCACTTTCAATTTTGTCTATACTTGTTAACTTCAAATATTGATGTCCTTGGTATAAAAATTTATACGGGCTGTACTATATATAGTTAAGGATTGAAATTTTAGTATAATGTTCTTAAAAGATATACTACAAGTCTACATTCTTGAATTTTATTGTTTTTGAATAAATTAGTGCATTTATTTATAAAATTTTGTCCGACTGAAATCACTTTCAAATTATTCTCTATGTAGAAATTTGTTGTTTTGAAAATTTTTTACCGGCTATATTGTATATAATTAAGAGCTGAAATTTTAGTATAGTATTACTAAAAGTTTATACTATAAGTGTACATATATAAAATTTTATGTTTTTAAACAAATTATTAGTTTTTTTGTTAATTTATAAAATTATATCTATAAACTCCAAATATTGATATCTTAGTTTAAAAAATTTATACCAACTGTACTATATATAGTTAAGGACTGAAATTTTGGTATGATTTAGTATGAAGTATCTATTTCAATAGAACACAAAAAAATTGGTAGGTGTCATAGAATTTTGAAAAATTTTCATAACTTTTTTGAAGTTGATTAAGAAATTTTTATTTTTTTATTAATTTTTTTGAAATTTAAGTTGACCTCTACTTAAAGTCTCTCTTGTTCTTAAAATAAACACACTTGCAATTCAAACAATTTATATTAACTGTACTATATATAGTTAGTGAAAGAAAATTTAGTATATTAATTCTTAAAGTAAATATTTTAGTTAAATTTTTTTTTATTTGTTGGAAAATTAGTAGTGGGTGAATTTTTAAAATTTGTAAAATGCAAAAATTTATTAATTTATTATTTAGACAAATTTTGCAAAAATTGTTAAAATTTTTATAACTTTCTTTGCTTGAGAAATGTGTAATGTAATATTAAAATATAGACTTTTTTCAAGTAAATACTAAATTTACAACCCTTAACTATACATAGTACTCAGTAAAAAGAACGCTCAAAAACAATAAAAAGTTTATTTATTACAATTATTTTAGGAATTTATTTTTCTATACTTCAATGATATGAATATTTAGAAGCTCCTTTTTCAATTGCAGATTCAATTTTTGGATCAATTTTTTTCATAGCAACAGGATTTCATGGTCTTCATGTTTTAATTGGAACTTCTTTTCTTATTATTTGTTTACTACGACTTAGATCATTTCATTTTAATCCTAAACATCATTTTGGATTTGAAGCAGCAGCTTGATATTGACATTTTGTTGATGTAGTATGATTATTTTTATATATTTCTATTTACTGATGAGGTAGATAAATTTTTATAGTATATAAGTATATTGAATATATGAAGAAGTAAGACAAAATTTTGTAAATTGCTCTGAAACTTTACTAATTTCTTCAAAAACAATAAAATGCATGTATGTATATTTATAGTATTTTAATTTTATGTAATAATTGAACTTATTTATTTTGCAGATTACAAACTTGAATAATCACTTGAGACTTCACACAGGAGAAAGACCTTTCCAATGTCCAGTCGAAGGTTGCAACAAGGCATTTGCACAGGTAAATGAATCTATCTCAGTTTATATATATATATATATATATATATATATACATAATAGATAAATCCTGGTTTATTTAACAAACTTTATAAAACAACTTTCGAGCCATTCAATGAAACTCGATAAGGACTTGCATTGTATTTAAACTGTTTTCTTTGTAATTGAAATTATTTTGTCCAGGTTTTAGTCCTCAATTCTGAATTAATTTTAAAAATTCAAAAATGGTTTGATAGATAACAGTTGAAAATCGTGCTGATTAGTTAAAAAAAAATCAACGACTCATTTTACACAGTTTTAGTTCTGTAAATTCAAACATTTTTTTTTCCAGACGTTTTTGTTCCAAGAGTAATTAATTTTGTTTGAAAAATTTTCAAACATTATATACAGATTTGTAGAAAATTTTATGAACTTTTTATATAATACTATTGTTATATTTTGAATATATATAACAAAATAAACAAGCAACTAACATAGTGAATGCAGCAAAGTAACTTATTCTAATTTGTATATAAAACGTTTTGAAATCACTGCATTTAATTTAGAACAATGTACCCAACAGCATGAAGTTGTCCACGGTCGGTATTGTCAACTCTTTTTTGGCAGTTGATATTTAAATTTGAATTTGCAATATAATATTTGTGTTTTTTCGTTAACTATAATATTGTATTTTGTAAATAATTTTGTTGGAAACGTAATATATTGTTATATACAGATTTGTAGACAATTTTAATAGCTTTTTAATGATTTATAATAATGTCTAAGTTGTTTAACTAATTTTAGCAATATAAACGTGAATTTAAAAAAATGTAACCAATGCAAACTGAATTTTAAACTTTATAGATTTTTCACAATTAATTTTGTTCTAAAACATATCAAACGTTATACATAGTTTTGTAGACAATTTTATTACCTTTCTAACAATATATAATACTATTGTTATATTTGATTATTTATAACAAAACAAACGTGCAACCGATGAAACTAACATACATATTGAATGCATCAAAACAATTTATTATAATTTGAATATAAAACGTTTTGAAATTACTGCATTTAATTTTGAACAATGTACCCAACACGCATGAAGTTACCCGCGGTTGTTTACTGTCAACTCATTTTTAACCGTTGACATTTGAATTTGAATTCATAATATTATATTCTTATGCAATTATTGAAAATTTTATTTAACTTTCAACTTTTGTAGTTCAATTTGGTCGTCAGTAGAGTTTCTTTTTGTCTTAATTTTTTTTTCTTCAATGTTTTGCACAATTTGGATTTGCTCATCAGTAGAGTCCTTTTCCCTACACCATTTTATTTATAGTTTTGCAGTATTCATTGTCAATCATATTTTTAATTTTTTTATGAACTATTTTTCCGAATTGAATATTTCTTACAAAAATTTAGTTTGATACGTCAGTAGAATTCTTTTTTTATAATAGTTTCTAAACTAGTGGTGCATGGCACCGTGCCTTAAGGCAATTTGCTGAAACTTCCCGTATCGTAATTAAA